CCTCAAGTTGTGCCAGGGGAAGTTTAGGTTGGACACGAGGAAAGATGTCTTCCCCGAAAGGGTTGGCCAGGCCTGTGCCAGGCTGCCCTGGGCAGTGGTGAAGTCCCTAGCCCTGCAGGGGTTTCCAGGCTGTGGAAATGTGGTGCTGAGGGACATGGGTCAGTGGGGACCTGGCAGTGCTGAGGTAATGGTCAGACTCGATGATCTTGAAAGTCTCTTGCAAGCAGAACTATTCTATGATTCCATAGGTGTTTTTCTCATTTCAACCTGCATGGCTATCAAGTGAAAAAAAACAACTCCTCAATGGCTTCACAAGCTATAAACTCCCAATAAACCAGCACTCTGAGGTCTACACAAATGTCAGCAAGTTAGTTATATGAACTTTCACTGAATTTACTCTTTTGGTACTGCATGTAGACCCTGCTGAGTGAAGGAGCCCTCTCCTTCTAGTTAGTGTTGCACTTAGGAAGGAGAGGAGTACTGCTGTCTCAGGGAAACAGCAGTGATGTGCAGGGATTTACTGTTGTTGTCTTGGCTTTTGAGGGAATGGTTTGGGTTTGGGGTTTTTTTGGGGGGGAGGGGCGGCTTGCCATTTAACTATTGTCTGTGCGTGGTTTTGCAGTCTTGATTCCTGCAGGTTGCTTCCTCTTAAAGACAGCAGTTTCCAGAAACTGTTCCAGGATCCAGCCCGTCTCCAGAAGAAAGGCAACATTTTTAGTGGAAAAGACCAGTGCTCTCTAAGAGACATTCTTATTAAAATATCCCAATTTGTTATTTTGAAGTTTGCACGACTTTCTGTATCAATATTTTCCCTCAAACGTCAATTTAAACCATCCTAAATATCGTTATTAATCAGTTTCTAGCAAATTCCTTACCCCTTTATGCAACATGTGAGAACATTATGTAAATATTGTTTTGCACAACTTTTTGTGTTAGTTGGGGTTTTTTTCTTCCTTTCAGTAGATTCCTTTTGATTTGTTTTGGTTGGGATTTGGGGTTTTATTATTTCTGAGATGGAAGATATTTTTAAGCTTTATTTTGGAAGCAATCCTGTAAATATGAGTAGTTCTCTAAATATGTATGTCATGAGCTAGATGAGGTGCTAGCTTTAGAGGTGGTTCTTTGATATTAATGTATTCACATCTGAAAATAAATGCTCTTCTTATGCAGCTTCCACAACTGCTATTTATAGTGTTCTCATCTTCCTTGTTACTGGTAGGTGTAATTAACAGGCCATCACTGGGAATCTTCCTAATCACAGAAGACTCTTAGTTGTAAATGCAGACCAGTCTTGCTCAATTGTGAGTAGGCAGAAATAAGGATAACTTGCATCTAATGTCCTACCCCATGTTCCATGCATGGTGCTTTCATGTCCCACTCCGTTCTTCATCCAGTCATACATTTGAGGAAAATTAGGGTTTGGTGAAAAAGAAAGTTTGTCCAATTCAAAACACACAGTTTTCCCAGCAGTAGAATTTTTGTTTGCTTGTGTTGTCATATAAAACCTGCCATCTCAGAAACCCTGTCAGCTACCTGCTGGTTTTTGTCTTTCATGGGGAAGGAGCAGATTGTTTGCTGATAGTCAACACCATGATCTACATTGTCCTCTTGGTGCATTAAGAGGCAATACCTTCATACTTAGTAATATTTGAAATTTGTGGTGTTGGGGATGACTTAAATTTCCATGAATCTGCTTAGTTCTTTGATTTCTCTGAATTTCAAAAGAGGGAAGTTACTGCTTTTGTTTAAAGACAGCAGGGGAAGGCACCTTTGTGTTAATTTTTCTGTTAACCTAGTGTTAGCTTCACTTTTAAAATAAAACCTAATTGGAAGCACTGCACTTCAGAACCGTCTTACAAAGTCACCATTTCCTGTGAAGTGCTTCTGTTAAATGAGATAATATCACAGTTGGTGTGGAGATGGGAGGGAGCCTCCAACAGCAGTAAACCCCTGAACCTCCCTAGCTTGCAAGGCAATTAAAAATAAACAAGGTTTGGGGGATATTGTTCTTCCACTAAGCTGTTTGATAAAATTTAATCCGTATTAAATATTTCTTGGTCAAGAGTGTTGAATTAATTGAAGGTTTCAGATCATCCAAAACAGAAATAGGAGCAAGTGTTGTTGGCAGGCTAGACTTTCAGAACGGATAGCAAAATTAGCATTTATGAGCTGAGTGGGAAGCTAGGGGGATACCCACTGGGTAAGAAAATTTTTCTTTCTCTGATATTTAATAGCCACATTTAGAAGGAGAAGCTAACTTTATTTGTTCACATTCCCATATAACCCTTAACCTTCAGACATCTCCTGTGAGCCAATTAGTATTCATTTCATTAACAGGAAAACTGAACTGTTGTAGCTGCCTTCCTCAAGTGATACCCAACACTACAGAGTGGTATCAGCTGCCTCTGGCTGCTTGTGCTTTGTGCCCTCCTTCAGAATACCCACTGTTGTAGGCTGTCGCTGCTTGGGGTGAGGCACCAAAAAAAACACAAAAGAACCGTCAAAGAAAGGTCAAAGTAACATGCCTGAAAGTTGCATTTCTCCTCTCAACACCTGTTACGCAGTCTCTAGAGAAGCCGTTTAATTCCTGAGTTCTTTGTGTTCAGCAGTAGCTCTGGACTTGCTTAGCCTGGGTGCTTGGCTGTTGGCTGGGGTCAACCCACAAAGCAGTAGCTGAGGTCACTCATATTCTCTAGGTTAAAAGCTGGTTTTCCAGAAGAGAACAGCAAAGCTAACAGCTTTTAGAGGACAGGTTTCAAAACAGCATGACACAATTTTATGGATCTCTAGCTGGCAAATTGAGCAGATAGGGCCATGAATTAGAAAGAAATGTTTTTCATTGTGGAAATGACTCCTACAGGTTTGTTGTGGTGAAGCGTATGTCACTGCTGCCACAGTTTGATTTATCACCTAGGGAAAGAGCACTCTTCATTCTTGCAGTTTGGGGTTTTCAGGTACTATTTTCATGATATTCCAGTTCAGAGTTTACATTGCTTCCCTGTGACAACTTCTCTAACAAACTGGACTACTTTCAGATAATCCTAGACTGTAGAACTTCCTGATGCTTCACTTCAGTTTGAGGAAAGTACAGGTGGGAAAAGAGCTTTTGGTTTCCATTGTGTTGCTAAATGGATTTTTAACTCTGTTTTGGAGCCTGAGCTAGCCTGGATTGAAGTGGAATAAAGAGATTTCATATTGCTGAGCAAGAAGCAGAGCTGCCTATGTGGAAAAACAGACCCCAACTGGTGTGAAACTATACAACTGCATAGGAACTAATACAGCATAAATCATGTGTCACCTTTGTGATGATTTCAGGCATATGGAGGTGGTGAGAATTCAAGTTGTGGTTTAGTACAGTAGATAATGATCTACCATTCTCTGTATCTCAGACAAAGGTGATCTTGGGATCAAGCTGAGCTTTTTGACAGTGGGGTTTTTTTTTCTGTTTTGCCTGTTCCTGCAGAGGAGCTCTCCTGGCTTTGTATCACTCCAAATTTTACAGACTAACAGGGGAAATGGAGAAAAATTTTCCTGTTTTTGTTGGATGCTGTGAATTTAAATTCAGAAAGGTTAAGAATTCTGAAATACAATTCAAAAAGCATATGGACATGGCAGTTACATTACTTACAAGAAAAAGTATGCTTCTGGTGTATGGAGAAGATTAACATTACTAGATTGTATTTAGAAGATGTAATCTTATTTCAGATGGAAAGAGCCACAAAGCCTGATGCAAGAAATTGAGATTTGAGAACTCCCTCTTGATTAAATTATATATGATCCTCTGATCTATCTAACCCTTAATAGCGCATTAAGTGTGCAATAGTGTAATGTAAAAGAGTAGGAGAACTGAATGGTGATGGTATTTAGTAATGTTCTTTGGAATTAAAAACGCTGGGGAAGGGTTGTGGTTGTGTGATCAACCTTGTATAAAAATAGTATGGTCACCTTATCCTCTAAAATTGGTTTTGCTTGCCTTAAAGGAAAGGTCTCTCAGGTCATCCACCATGCTGCAAATCATTTGCTTTCACAGGTGGGCGTTCTATTATCATTCCTTAGGAAATGAAGATGATGATGAAATCACTGGTTCTGTAAAAATATCCCTTTAATATCTTTAAAAGAAATCATGGTTGTCTGTTGTGTTCCGCTGCTGGAACACCATGCACAGTGTGAATTTTACATCACTTTAAAATACAAGCAGCATATTTCCTTTCTAAGCAGTAGATTTTATTGCCAGAAATCAATTCCATCCCCAGCTCATGCTTCTTGATTTGTTAAAATGAGTAGCTTCAGCTTGCATTGTTTTGAGATCTGAAAATGGTTACAGCTACGTGTGGAGGTAATGTAGAAAGAGATGTAAAATACTCCAGAAACTATGAAGGTGCTTGTTGGGGGGAGGGAGATCTGGGGTAATGGGCTTGTTAAAGGACAAGAAAAAAAATTAAATTAGGTGGGAACTATTTTTAATTGGTTCCTTTTCCATGACTGACTTTTTTTTCTTTCTCCTTATTTTTCGTGCTCTCAGCTTGCAAGTTATACCTCTTCAGGCATTATGGTTCACAGCGTTTAACTTCTGGCAACAGGGGGTGGGAGGTCAGCAATGTTGTTTTTGTCTATAATCGGCAGCTTTTGCGTTCTGTTTCTGGAAGCTCATCTCTCCCAGCAACAGGAGCCTTTAGTAGCTGAGCTCGGGCTTGGCTTTTGGATTGACAAGTGTTGTGACTTTCCTGCCTGAAGCCGCTTGCATCTAAAGCCTCTCCTCAGAAGGGTTCTGGAGCAGGGAAACGCGTCGTGCACACAGGGATGTGTTTCAAAGCCAGCAAGCTGCTACCAGCCAGCAGTGTGTTCTGCGCCAGGGTTACGTGTATCCTGAACCTATACTAGCCCACAGCAGTAGTAGGTTAAGTCAGAAGTGATGGCCAACATCGTTATAAAGCTCTAATCAGATGCCTTCGGGTCCAGTGGAAGAAAATTAATCACTTTGCATTTTCATTTCTCCTCAGAAAACCTGAAAAAGGAGTCCAGTACCTAATCGAGCGAGGGTTTGTGCCAGACACTCCGGTCGGTGTCGCCCACTTCCTCCTGCAGAGGAAAGGTCTCAGCAGACAGATGATTGGAGAATTTTTGGGAAATCGGCAAAAACAGTTCAACCGGGATGTGTTAGAGTGAGTACTTGAGGGGAGGAGGGGGCAAGCAGGTTTTAATGGTAAGTGAGACATTTCATCAAGCCAGCGGAAGCAGCAGCCTCCAAATGTTTTGAGTGTATGTCTGGATCTTGTTCTGAAGCAAAGGGAAAACAGACTGTAAGGGTTAAGAAAGAAAACATGCACATGAGCAAATATTTATTTCTTTGCTTTCCAGTTAAGTTACTGTTTTTATTATTGATCCAGCAAGATAATTACAAGGATTTATATTCCCTGTAGTCATGTACATTTACTCTAAATTTATATTTTAATTATATTGGTGTTAGAAAATGGTATTTTGAAGTCTTTTTCCTTCCTCAGGCTCTCTAATAATTTACTGAATGAAAACCAAAATAATAATATATGCAACATAAGGCTTCATCAGTAACAGAACATGAAAATAATTATTACAGCCAAATGGCTCAGATGTTAGATAAACAGGGACTTTAGTGGGAACAGGCATATGCTGACAAGATCTATAAAAATTGTTCTTTTCCAAAAGATTAGATAACAAAAACTGTTTAAAAACATTCCAGAAAGCCGAAAATGAGACTTTTAGCCGCTTGGTCATAAATTTTGAAACTTTATATACAGAGTAGACCAAAAGAGAAGCTGCTTTATTTTCAGAGGGTGTTCCATTTAACATGAATATTTTTGGTGTTTGTTTGGTTTTTTAAATATCTGATATACTGACCATACGTGAATATATCTTAGCCCAGTTTTGTTCAAGGAATCATATAAATAATTCAATTAGATGTTTAACAAAACCGCTGAGAATGACAGCAAGAAAACCCTCATCTTGCTCGTTAAGGAAGACTAGGAAGAATTCTGGCCAAAGGTTTTAACCAAAGTAGAATAAAAGCTGTGCTGAAATTTACATGAAGACTTTCCAAATACTTTCTGATTTTTTGAAAACAATACAGGTCCAGGACAAGGTGATTTATAATCTTAGCTGATTCATTTTGTAATTTGAACAAATTGTTTGCCTTCACCGTCTCAGACAGACTAGCAGAATATGGGTAAATAGAAGTGTGTCTCTGCTAAGCCAGATGCTCTGTCTGTGATGAGGTGAATTGTTCCCGAGTAAGATCATAATCACCTACCTACAGCCCCACAACAAGCCTTTTATTGACATTAATCTGTTCTCAGATAACCAGTTTCAGCCATGCTTTGGGGCGAGGAACCCTCCCTAACTGGTGCAGTTATCTCCATAGTGTTCTGAGCCTTGCCTGCAAATAGGAACAAGGGATTTTTTCTTAAAAAGAGACAATAGAACAGCATTGCATCTTAAATACCACATTTACAGATTGGAGGTGGATTTTGTGGAACTGATAGTAACCCCAGGTTCTTACATAGACAAGACATTTTAACAGATGATCCTTTTGCATCATTGATCCTGTTGCGCAATTTCATTTCAAATGACTCAGTTTGATTTGTGTTCAAATTTCCCAGATCCTTTCAATTAGGGCCTTTCAACTGTTTAAAATCATCTTTCCATTGAAGCTTAGAAAATACTCAAGAGAGTAGCCTAAATTTTGAACCAAGAGCTTCACTCTGGGCCTACTGTAGACGCTGCTGCCTGGTGGATGGTCAGCTGTGAAGGCATAGTTTGGGTGGCGTGGGGCTGGCGTAGCTGATGGTGATGTTCTGACCAACATTTGAGGCACATGAGACACTCTTCCCAAAGCACTGCTGTTGTTCAACAAGCCTCAGTTTCCTGTCTCTGCCTGACTAAGGAGGGCTTGGTGTAATAGAGCTGAAGATCTCGCCTTCTACTGTTTTGCATGAGAAAGCAAAAGTGCAGTCATTTAAAGAAAGAATAAAATAAAACCATCATAAAGAGCGCTGTAACAGTGAGAGGGAAGCATGACATCCTGTTGCTTTCTACAGGACCCCATCATTTCAGGCCGTTGTACTACACACATGCCAGAGTACAGACAAGTGGTACAGTAGAGAACCAAGGAAATCGGAGCTGTGCTAACCCAGCAAAGCATGGAATGGTTTTCATTGAAAGAGACCTTTAAGATCATCATCCAGCCGTTCCCCCAGCACTGGCAGATCCCCACTAACCCATGTCCCTCAGCACCACATCTCCATGGCTTTGAAACCCCTCCAGGGATGAACTCCAGGGACCACTGCCCTGGGAAGCCCGGCACAGCCCTGGACAACTCTGGCAGGAAAGATATTTTTCCTCATGTGCAACCTAAACCTCTCTTGCTGCAAGTTGAGGCCATTTCCTCTTGTCCTGTTGTTTGTTCCTTGGGAGAAGAGCCTGGCCTCCACCTGGCTGCAGCCTGTTGTCAGGGAGCTGTGGAGAGCCAGAAGGTCTCCCCTGAGCCTCCTTTGCTCCAGGCTCAGCACCCCCAGGTCCCTCACCTGCTTCTCCCCACACTTGGCCTCTAGACCCTTCCCCAGCTAAGTTGCCCTTCTCTGGACACGCCCCAGCCCCTCAATGATCTTCCAGTCAAGAACATTAACCATGGTGGTGCATCTGCTGTCTCCACAGTTGATACAAAAGATTAAGACCCTTCCCCATTATGTTGTTGGCAAGCAAAATTCTGGAGGTCCTTAACTGCTCTAGTTACTTGATTTTGACTCCACTTGTCTGCATGTGCATTATATCTTTGAAGGAGGAAAGAGCTTTTGAAAGAGTTGCAGAACTTACAGTAGGTGGGAAGACTGTGAACATTATTGCAGAACTGATAATAGGTCTTTAGGTATGGGTTGGAAAGGGCGTGAGAAATGCCAACCAGGTTTGTTTCTCTCCTTGCCCTTCTGCATAAAAGGAAAAATATTCAAGGCCAAGTGAATAAATTGCCTTGGTATTAATCTGTTCCTAAAAGAAAAGTGTGAGCTACTCTAATTTATCATTCTATAGCTATACATTTAAGAAAAGGATTTTAAAAGTGGTCTGTGCTTTCTTTCTGTGGTTTCTGCATTACAGTGCTGTTACTTGCAGTGATTCATATCTGGATATTTAAAAACTAAAAGCTAAGTTTAAAGAAAGGAAATTTATAAGCTTCAGATTTTAAAATAGTCTTTAAACAAAGTATCAGAATGACAGTTCATATTGTTGAGTATATTAAACTGCTTCCTTTTTTATTTTTTTTGTCAACACTGAGACTTTCAGAACAAGAAGGTGATTATTTCTGCAAAATGTTAACTGAAAGACATGGTAAATGACGGGGAGATGAGAATTACAGCCATAGCAAGCGACTATGCAAACAAGATTAATTTTTTTCTCTCTCTATGTAAGAACATTCCTAGACCGAGAGCAGATTGTTGTGCTTGCTGCAGGCTGTTGGAGATTTGATACTTTGAAGAGTGTAAACTATTTATTGTTATTATAGGCATTGTAGTAATTGATTGGCTTGAAAGCACAAAGCAAATAATTATTCCTGGCAACAGTATGTCACTTACAGTGGTCAGACATTTGTCATTCCAGCAGCTCTTCTGGTAAAAAAAAACAAACAAACAAACCCCAAACCAAAACAAAAAAAAACTTAACAAGGGCCTGCTCACCTGTATGTGTTCTCATTTATCTGTTATTCGCAGTCCTTCCTTCCCAGCTTAGCTACAATTACTGCAATTGCTGCTGAATGTTTCAGAAAACTCCATGAATCTCTACAGGAACCAAAAGTCTTTTTGGTCTTGAAATCTTACCTTTGGTACTGTGCTGTTAGAAATTAAAAGCCACAACAGCAATGTGTTTTTATCCTAGCTGTGTTGTGGATGAGATGGACTTCTCAACAATGGAACTGGATGAAGCACTCAGGAAATTTCAGGCTCATATCCGTGTTCAAGGAGAAGCCCAGAAGGTAGAACGGCTCATTGAAGCTTTTAGGTATGACACTGAAATAAACTATTCTCTCACCAGAAACCTGCTGCTGTCTAACAGTCAGACTGGAGAACTGGGGAGGCTGAGTGTATTGAAGTTATTTCCCTGCTTATTTCAACATCCTTGTGAGCTACAAACAGTTTCAAATGCAGCATGTCATTTGTGGTGGGTTTGCCAAGTATGAAATAGGAAGTTTTATTTGCTGGTGCTGGTCTTTTGTGTCATTGGTATTAATGTGACAAGATTTACCCATTAAAAGTTCTTTCTGTCTTCAGATGAAAAGAGATCAAGGAGCTTTGAACGTCTCTAAAAATCTGCATATAATAGTTTGTATGAATATAATTTTAACACCATTTACATTTTAGAGTACATATGCTCTCAGCCTTTCATTAAGCATTTCAACACTAGTGGAATAAAGAGCATTAACTTATTAATACTAACACCTACTTTATCCAGGGCAGGATGAGATGTAAATCATCCTGCGGCAGTAAGCTAAAATCAGTGCTGTGATCTTAGCTGGTGTCAATGGGCATGACTCACTGAAAAATAAATTAAATACTTCAGTTATTGTAGTTCAGAATCTGTACTAAGAACTGAAGTTAATGGCAGTAGAAAACAAAAGCCGTTCTAGGATGGGCTTATGAAAATATGTGGACAGCAGAGTGCCTACGTGCATGGAACGGGAATAATCACTTGCTCAGCCTCAGGAATGTAGCAGCAGTTGGTTTATTTGGTGGAATTTTAAGAGTCATTCATAGCCCTGACAGCTTCCCCTCCTCGCTTTTGCAGCCAGCGATACTGTATCTGCAATCCAGGTGTTGTGAGACAATTCAGAAATCCTGATACCATCTTCATTCTGGCCTTCGCCATCATCCTGTTAAACACAGATATGTACAGCCCGAACGTGAAACCTGAGCGCAAAATGAAGCTCGAAGATTTTGTCAAGAATCTAAGGGGTAAGCAAACATGAACCGTGGTGCTTGAGAAAGCTCTTCCCTCTAGCTGTCGTTGAGGGACACTGTGTGTCTTCTGGAAGAAGGACAAAATACAGGCCATGATTTCACCTGACTTCTAAAACTACCGTCATTTTTACAGGCTTTAGTTATTTCTGGAATAGTGGAAACAGAACCAAGCATACAGTATTTTGTGATTTTTATTGTGTCTGCCTGGAACAGGTGTTTTGTCACATCCTTTTATTTGCAGTTCTTTCAGTGCAGCTGAGTAATGACAGTTACCTTATATTCAGAATTCTTCAGTACCTCCATTTTTTTTGATATAATTGGGATTTGCCACATTTAGACCCTTCACAAAGTCAAAGGGCAGCTCATAGACAACAACTTCTATACACGTGACTGAAGGTAAATAAATTCAGTTGCAAAGACCATGTGTGTGTTTGTAGAGATACTAATCTCCCTATAGTCTCACTGCATGCTGTGGATTGTTCCTGAGAAGAGGAACGTGCTTTCTAGATAGTGAATTACAACACTACACTGCAGCATAACCTTACTAATGAATTCTTATGGAAATGTTGTCTTCCTAGTTGGCAGTTTGTGATATCTCTGTAGCAACCAATGTATTACAAGGGAGATCAGATCTGTACTGTGAAAAAAATTAAACCAGTAGGGTCTCTTACGTATTTTACAGTTTTATTCTAAAAGGGCATTTCTTTCGCTCCCTGCTTCAAAAGCTTAAACTTCTTATTCTTGTAAGTATTCATGCAGAGGAGACAGAGCCACTGTCTCCATGTTTTTGTTGGAGAGATACAAACTGGGACCAGATGCAATGTTAAATTTTCCACGTTCTTAAGAGATGCAGGTTAATAACATTGCTAGAAACATTTATATTAGGTATTGCCTTAGAAAACCTGCATTTTCTCAGCCTGTACGTGTATGTGTATCAAGGAACACAAATCACTATGCCATGGTGAGAACTTTTGGAAATAAACTAAGGATTTAAATTCTTGGCTGGGAAAAAAAAAAATGCCCAATTCCAAAATCTTCCTGAAAAATACACAGGAAATAGCACAGAAATTTCATTTGGGTTTCTTCATTGTTTTATTTCCTGATCAAGAAATTGTTTGCTAGGCTGTGGCACTTAGGTTGCCAAGAAAGTACAGGTATTTTTTCAAATCTGTATCTGAGAGCTTTCTACTTTGATTCTTTCTGGTGAAAAAGAACATGTTTTTATGAAATCTCAGCTCTGCCTGACAGGAGGCAGTCACTGTAGAGCTGGGGAGGAAGGTCATGCATGGGAAGGGAGACAATACCTTCTGTGCGCCCGAGTAAGAATGGATCAGGCAGAACACTCAGATATTAGAGGAATAAAACAAGACTGGAATCCCCATCCCTTTTTGTCCTTTAAGATCGTTTGTGCCCATAGAGAAAAAGAGCTTTTATTATAGTTCCATTCCTGTGTGTTTGTGCAAAGGCCAGGAAGATTACCTGCTCAGTTACTGCAACCCTCTCCTCCTCCTCCCTCTGCCTTCCCACGTAGGGTGAGCACACAGGGGTTAGTGCACAGTCTCTCTTCTTTTGGCCACGGTGTGTGTAGCAGCATGGCAGCAGAACAGGCCTGACAGCGCAGGCACCGCCAGTCCTGCTGTGCTCTTCAACAGCCGTTTGCTCAGCAGTACCTAAATGCGGGCTGAGTGGCAGAAAGAATCAAGTTGCATCATACGTAGAAATCTGGTGACTTGTCTCAGGTGTGTGGCAGTTTGTGCGTGCGTGTAGGACTTTCATTTTAGTACTAGTGAAAACTAAACACTTGTGTTGTTCTGGTATTTCAGATTTTGAAAATAAAAGTCCTGTTTGGTGATTTTTTGTCGTAGATTTATATGACAGTGAGCAATCCCTGTGAAGCTGATGGTTTAGCCTAGCAAAATTTAAGTTGCTGTTGAGATTTTATTGTCAAGTCCACAAAGATTAAAAAATGCCTGACATTAGTCCATGCAAAGGGCAGTCTTTGGAAGATGTGCTGGTGTGGAACAGAACAGAGACTATTTTGTTTGACTGTAGTTGCAAAGAAACTATTTTATCACAGGAATTTTCATGTAAGCAGTTGTTCTGCTTGGTGATAAAATAGAGTGGTTTGGCTTCTGAATGGGAGATAAGAGGTTATTGCTTTAAAACCTGTTTAAAAAATAAACATACGTCTCCCTGTCCCCCAGAAATCCAGCTTTAAGTCCCCTATTGAAGTTGGGCTCCTTCCACTGCTATTAAAAATTCAGGATCAAGCATTCAGGACACTGTGGCGTTATTTAGAATACTGACGTGCCAATGATAAGCACACAGTGCCAAACAATAACCCTGTGATGAGGCTATTTGTTTGATTTGTTTTTCCACAGTAAATTGGTTTTGAAATCGTATAGGAAATATTGGTTAAATTAATTTTACTGGGTGTTAATGATGTTCTCGTGTAGGAAATTATTTAATGAACAGTGTTGAGTAATACTGGGAGAGAGGCAAAATGTTGTGTTTCTGTTTTCTCCCAGTGGTTAGGTGGAAGTGACGAGGAAACAAAACAGGGAGTTAGCCATTTTCTGGCTTAGTTTTAGATTGGAGTTTTAAAACAAAAACCCAAAGCTGTGTAATTTCCATCTCTATTTTGGCATATTGGAGGCAGGAAGCTTTTGGATAAAAATCAGTGCTTCAGCAATGAGTAATGTAACTGCTGCTGCTGCTTTGGGAAGGCAGGCACAAGAACAGCACAGGAGATGTTACCTGACAGAGTCCTGGCAGGTGGGTGCCAAGCCAGCATAAACAAGTACATCAGCAGCGTGAGGCAGCACTGGTGTTCCTGTTAGCAGAAGAAACCAAGAGTGCCCAGGGTTCTGTCCCCTCCTTGCTGAGAAATCACACGGAGTGTCAGTGGGATCGTTCAGAGCCAGGCTGACAAGAGGAACTGTTGGCTTCTGCAGGTGTGGATGATGGTGAGGACATCCCCCGAGAAATGCTCATCGGGATTTATGAGCGAATCCGCAAACGGGAGCTGAAGACCAATGAGGATCATGTGTCCCAAGTCCAGAAGGTTGAAAAACTCATAGTAGGAAAGAAACCGGTGAGTTGACTTTGCGCTGCCTGTCAGGCACTAAGGGGACGTGGGGCCACGTGCAGCAGAGAGCAGCACAGACGTGTGGTGCTTGGAAGTGTGAACTGGTCAATAAAGGCAAAAGGCAGAAACTGTGAAAACAACAACTTGCTGTACGATTGGTTTGAATGTTGGACCATTCACAATGCAGATGAGTGCTGTTGGTGCAGGCTGGTGTTCACGAGTGGTGATGTTCTGAGTCTTAACCTCTTTCTGTGAAGCTTTGTAGTTCCAAAGTCGCGCTGAGGTATTTGCGTTAGGCAGCTCTCCTGTTTGTTTCAAGAGAACTGGCGTATGTCATCTTGCCTCCAAAACTCACAAGGGTCATAGAGAACTTAGGTTCATGTCAGTGTCTTTCTCAACTCTGCAGCTGGCTCTCTCAAGTGGTATTTGTGTGTCCTTGTGTCTTAGAACTTAGCTGGAAATCAGGTCCTAGGGATTCTGGTGCTGGGTTTGAGCATCCAGAGGTACCTCTTGCCTTGTTGTGGGGAAAATCCAGACATACTTCACTATATAAACTAGTTTTCAAGGCATCTGTTAGAAAAGGAGAGAGAAAGAAGGCCACAGTATTTTTCCCTTTGTTTTAGGAGCTGAGTGAACCCAGACATACTGAGACCCTTATTTTACATGCTAACAGCTGTATTTAATGTGCTGAGGGGTAATAGAGACTTGGCCTTCCTGAATTCAAAGCCTAGAATCATCTTTGGAGAAATCTTCATGTCAGTAGTCAGACAACAGCCCAGAACAAAGCCAAAAAAATACTAGGCTGCATGTTTTTGAAGTCCTGCCTTGTTTTATCAGCTCTAGGGAACTTCACTGAAGTGGGGACTGGTGGGCTGGTGGATTTTTTATTAAGGAAAAGAGCATGGATTTTAAGATTCTCCCTATTACTCTTAAAGAGCTTTGAACTGTAATCTCTTCTCAGACAAGCCTCAACATGGGGAGGGGGAAAGGGAATAAGGGACCACCAGAAACAAGAAAATCCAATTTCCTTCTGTTTCTCCGTAAGGAATTATTGAGGAAATCTCTTGGAAGAAGCAAAGGAGAGCAAAAGCAAAATTTCTCTTAAGAAAAGCTTTTATATATTTTTGAGTAGAAGGGAAATTAATATTCTAAAGTCAGTATTGACAGGCACTTATGCTTTCATACAAAACTTACTTTCCATAATTGTTTGGGGATTTGGGTTTATATATAGACTTCTGTGGGAGATGTTTTTTTTCCAGGTTCTTTTTTTATTGGGGCATTCGCAATTCAAATCCTAAAACTGATCCTGACCTTGTGAATTAAATGGGATTAAGAAAACATACCCTCCATGGAGGGATTCCTCTGTTGAGAGAGTTTTTAACTGTGTGAAAGAAAGTTCAGGAAATAGCCCACAGTCTTTATTGACAGAAGTATTTGTTTTTACTTTATAGGCATATAGTTGTAGTAAGACCATGACATATTTACTTGCTATGATACAGTACTGTGTTTCTCGGAAGTTTAATGAACTTGTATATGTCTTTCTACTGTAGATTGGATCTCTCCATCACGGACTTGGTTGTGTACGTATTTCTCTCCTACTCCTTCAGAGTGTATAGTCATTTTAACTGACAGCTTGTTGGTAAATTGGCAATAATGCATTCTATTGTATTTTAGCTTTTTTGAAAAAAATAGGCTGCTTTCAGGCAAAACTCTCCTATCGTTGTAGCCATAACTCTCCGAAGTATAAAGATTTTCTTAAAAATATGCTTCCCAGACAGACTAATTTATTGCCAAGAGTTTTCTAGACTTTTTAGTACACTTTTTATGCATTTTAGGTGCCACTATCACTGTAGAAATTAGACAGCCAGTAAATAAATAAGATTACAGTTGGTGCCTCACTTTTCCACTTGGGTCCTGCCTGAATGATACTCTACAAGAGCACAGAATCATGCAGATTCACAGTATGGTGTGGGTTGGAAGGGACCTCTGGAGATCATCTCATCCAACCCCCCTGCTCCAGCAGGTCACCCACAACAGGGTGCCCAGGATCACATCCAGGCAGGTCTGGAATCCCTCCAGAGAAGAATTAAGATATTGCCAGTTAATTTCACAGTTCTTTTTTGCGAGGTAGATGAATGTAGAAAATATTGATTCCAGATTTAACTTATAGGCATACTCCATAATGACCCTACAGCTATTCCTCTAATGCAGTGTCCCATTTACTTTAATTTCATGATGACATTATTGCTGGGAGTTTTAAACAAAGAAACCACCTCGTAGCAGAAGAGTGCACATAGTGCTCCAAAGTCTTGAGTACTATGTACAAATTTGATCCTAGTGATTTAATTTCTTCCCTAATTATAACTTCACTGTTAGATGCATTTGCATCTTCGTGCAGGACAACCAAAAGAAAGAACTTAAAACTTCTTTTAATTTTTTTTTTTTTTCAGTCCACTTTTTCTGTGCAAACAAACTCATGCAAAGCTAGCTTCCTATTCCTGAGTGGAGTACCTGTCATTGTTTCATTGGGTGCATGTCTAGCAGTACCACTGGACTGTAAAACCAAACTGAAAGACGTGACCTTTATAAAATATGGTGGCAGGCAATCTCACCTCATCGGCTGTTGCTATGAGCAGAAGCATTGCCTGTAGCTGCATTTCAACACCAGCACTCACTGTAGTTGTTCTGCAAGATCGTGGGCTCAGTGGCTGCCCTTGGGTTTTGTTCTCACTGAGCAAATCTCAGTCTGCCACGTGCTGGGGAAACAGGCTGGAGGTAGGAGAGAATGAGAACATGCAACATGTATTCCTGCCACTTTTCACTGAGAACACAGGTAAACTGTTCACTTACCAGAACAGCTTGGAAATAGGAAGATTTCATTTCTCCATCATTCTTCACCACACTGGCTTCTTTCAAACGTGTCAGATTTTTTTATTAAATACCGTCTCCTGGCAAGTTCAGGGAGGGTAGTTAAGCTAATGCCTTAGATAAATTACATGCTCTTAGCATTTCATCTGCTATTAGTATAGTTATTGTTAGATTTCAGAGAAAAACTGAAATCACACCAAATGACTTGATAAGCAGCTAGGAAGAAGGGCAGACAGTGAATCCTAAGTTCTGTTTCTCCCTCTTTTTTTTATTTCTTCTCCCTGCCCTCTGACTTATATAGAAAAAGAAGACACAATAACAGCCTTTGACATTTTCTTTACCTAGTAAATCTTGTAATTCCCAAGTAGGTTCAGGAAGTATAAAGAAATATATAAATGAAATATATAGAGAGTTATCAAAGAATATTCTGCATGTCAAATTTTATAAAGTTTAAAGGATATCTTTTAATATTGTTGACAAGATATCATCACTTGCATTTGAAATTAATTAAGCCTCGCTGGGCTGAGAACAGCAGCTTTGGAGATCACTTCAGCAGATGTTTCAAATACGAAAATTGAAAACTATTTCTTGTTTTCTTCCTGGCCTGAGAAAATAAACCAGACTGAAAATGCATTTACTTATTCCTGATGTCACCATTTCCATGGTATAGGGGAATGGACAAACTGAAATAACTCGGTAGAGTACGGCACTGTATTCATCTCACAAAAGCTAAAGGTGCTTTGCATCCTGTCATCTAATACAGATGTGTAAAAATGCTCAGGAAAGCAAAACATCCTTTGTCTAGAGCCCCCACTTGACTCCTCTTAAGTTTTTTCAAGATTTTATTTTTCCACAAAGTAAAGTCTTATCATCTGGCATCCATGTACAGGAAAGCGAGCTGTTAGAGGATATTTTGTATAAGAACCTTCACGAAGTTTGAATGTAATGTCAGTGTGTGTGGCATAAAAATCTTTATTTTTCTGCTGTTAGTCCTTTGAAAATGTCTAATGGGCTTAGAGGTAAAAATATTTGAAGTACTCAAAAAAAAGACCCTGGGTCTGAAAGATGTTCTTTCTTGGCTAAATATTGCTATATTAACCCTGATTTTCCGTATTCTCATAGGTCCTCTCTCTGCCGCACCGGAGGCTTGTTTGCTACTGTAGGCTGTTTGAAGTTCCAGATCCAAATAAACCTCAGAAGCTTGGATTGCACCAGCGAGAAATATTTTTATTTAATGATCTTCTTGTGGTATGTATTTTCAGCTTTCAGATAGGCTTCTAGTGAGGGATTCAGAAAGGCCTGTCTCTGTGAAATTGGTGGCAATTAAGTATGTGAGCATTGCTAAAAATAAATACGTCTGTCTTCCAACACTACTCTGTACTACTCAATCTACTCTGTGCTCCTACACTTTCGGGATGATTAAGATTTAAATTTTCATCATTTTCTTCATTATATATAATTTGCTTTTGAACTGAAACATTTTATTGAGTACTACACTCTGTTGTAACAAAGTACTTTGATGCAATAGCTTTTACTATAAAGAACAAAAATTACTTCCAGTTTATCCATTTCCCTAATGGTTAAAAGATGACCTTTTATTCCATGTATAATAAATTCAGGGTACTTGTGGAAGAACATAATTACACACTACTTTGTATTCCCCAGATGTTCTATGAACCAGATGTCTTTATTCATGGAAATAGGAGTAGAATGTGTTGAAATAAATGCTACAGTTGAATTTACTTTCTAGTGTGCACTTTTGAAAAACAGACATAAAAAAACTAGTGACAGCTTGGAATTATTTGCATGATTTCCTCATTAAATAGGAAAATTTGTTGCATTCTCACCATGAGAGTGGTGAGACCCTGGAATGGGTTGCCCCGGGAGGTGGTTGAGGCCCCATCCCTGGGGGTCTTTAAGGCCAGGCTGGATGAGGCTCTGGGCAGCCTGATCTAGTGGGAGGTGTCCCTGCTCATGGCAGAGGGGTTGGAACTGGGTCCCTTCCAACCCTGACAGATTCTGATCTGTTTTAGCAGAGGACTTAGTAGTGTTTGGCTGATGGTTGGACTTGATGATCTTAAAGGCCTCTTTCAACCTAAAGGATTCTGTGATTCTATTTGGAATGTGTTTGGATTTTACCTGGGAGCTAAGAACTAATTATTTCATGTTTTGTCATGAAAAAGGCATGCTTCAGATGCACAGTTTTATTGTGTGTAACTTTTATATACCTTCAGACCTTAAAGCCAGGAAGTATATAATTAAAAAAAAAAAAAAAAAAAGTTAATCGTTTGGATTGTGAGTATAACTTCCTAGCTGTAAAAGTGAACTCAGGTGTAAAATGACGGATCATTGTCGTCTTCAGTTTGCAATTTTTCTGTCATTTTTTATTACTTACTCAGATGCCAGTAGTTTTATCAAACTGTTTTGGGAGTAATATAGGCCAAATTTCTCAGTTCTAGCAAAACATCATCACCAAAAACAACTAGTAAAAATAAGCATGTTGGCTCTAAAGAGCGCTGGAATTCACACTTCAGGGGATCCCTGAGGTTGATAGTGAATTGTAGCCTGTTACTTCTAAAAGTAAAGACTTATACAGCCTCAGAGCTTTTATTGTAATAGGTGCTGTACCAGTCAAGGGAAGACAGGGCATCGCTGGGCGATGGAAAACGTTACAAGTCCTGGCAGAATTACATTACAATTTTCTGGCAGATTATAGCTTTCTTTGGCATAAAATGTTTTCTTGTGTGCTAATTCTTAAGAACAACGATTTTCCACAAACACCTATGGTAAAAGGGATATCTCACTGTGTTTTATTTGATAACTTTCAGGTGACCAAGATTTTTCAGAAGAAGAAGAACTCTGTCACGTACAGTTTTCGACAGTCGTTTTCCCTCTATGGAATGCAAGTTCTTCTTTTTGAGAACCAGTGTAAGTCTTTCCTCTTTTTTCTAGATTTACTATTTTGTTTATAGATTAAATAAATGGTATGAGTGAAAGGGATGGATAAGACTTGTTTCTGAATTTAGGAATAAAATTGCTCTGAATTTAACTTAGCCCTGAAGTTTAAAATGAGATGATGTCAGCATAAGAAACAGCAAGATGGCTGTTAAGAGTTTTTGGTTGTAGTCAGAAGCCAAATCTAGCAAAATGTGTACTGAATGTGTGATAAAAAATGATTGCTATTGTATTTGACACTGTCTCCTATAACGTCCTCCTTGGGAAGCTTAGGAAGTGTGGGTCAGATGAGTGAACAGGGAGGCAGACTGAAAATGGGCTCAATGACAGAGCTCAGAGGGTTGTGATCAGTGGCACAGGGTCTGGTTGGAGGCCTGTAGCTCATGGAGTATCCCAGGGGTCAGTGCTGGGCCCAGTCTTGTTCAGCATTCATCCATGACCTGGATGAAGGGACAGCATGGACCCTCAGCCAGTTTGCTGATGTACACAACTGGGAGGAGTGGCTGACACACCAGAGCTGTGCTGCCACTCAGCGAGACCTGGGCAGGCTGGAGAGTTGGGCAGAGGAGAATCTCATGAAGTTCAACCAGGGCAAGTGTAGAGTCCTGCCCCTGGATGGAAGAACCCCCTGCACCAGTGCAGGTGAGGGGCTCACCTGCTGGAAAGCAGGTCTGAGGAGAAGGGCCTGGGAGTGCTGGTGCACAGCAAGTTCCCCATGAGCCAGCCATGGGCCCTCGTGGCCAAGAAGGCCAATGGTCTCCTGGAGTGCATTGAGACGAGTGTGGCCAGCAGGTCAAGGCAGGTTCTCCTGCTCAAGGGAGGCCATGTCTGGAGTGCTGCATCCTGTTCTGGGCTCCCAAGTTCAGGAGAGACAGGGAACTACTGGAGAGAGTCTACTACTGTGCCCAGTAAAGGCTGAGAGCCCTGGGGCTGTTCAGCCTGGAGAAGAGAAGCCTCAGAGGGGATCTGATCAATGCTGATCCATAGCTAAATGGTGAGGGCAAGAAGATGTGTAATTCAAAGCACTATTTAATTTATTTTTGTGATTTGTATATTTGTGTTAATTTATATCTTAAACTTTTTTATAAATACAAAGCGGAGAGTCTGGATTAAAATTTGTATTTTCCGACACCTTTTGTTTATATCAGTTGTAATCAGCATCAATCCAGTACTTTTTTTCCCTCTCTGATGCTTGTCAGGCTTAGTCTTAGCAGACAAAAACCCAGCACTGTCCTTATTGTAAGCCCAGAGACAGCATCACTAATAATGCAGCAGAGCAGAGTTGTTTGGGTGGGACACAGGGAGACAGTCGATTTGACCTGGCATAATGATTTGTAAATCAAACCTTGACCTTTGTGATAAACTGGATATCGGTCAATGTGACATTCAGTAGTTATGTGCTTTTCACTTGTGGAGGGCTCTTGGTTTTAGTGTGTGCTTGGGAATGTGCTCCCACGCTCATCTTGCTCAAAAGCAGTTGCTGGTACTGAGTCACAGCATCTGGAGATGTCCAAAGGGAAGAATTGGTAGAGTTTGTAGCAGCACTGTGGTCTGCAGTTTATTTACATGCACACATGTTCATTCTGTCTCTCTTCTGCACACACTATATGATAGAAAATTAATTTTTAGAGATAAAGGCCAAATATTTCTATCCTGGACTTTACTAAAAATAGAAGAACATATAATTCCTCTGATGTCAAGTTAAGTAATGTTTTCTTTAAAATAACCTCATAAGCATATGAAGTAGAAACACTTTACTCAAATAAACTTTAAAATATCCATAGTGAAACACAGGAGTAGAGAGTTGGGTTCCTCCTAGTGAACTAGAGGCATTTAACTGAGACACTTTAGTAGCTCCTGAGGTAAATTCACTACAATGAACCAGTGAGTGCATTGTACTCCTAATATCACTGCCTGTTAGGTGGAATGCAGGATTTTCCAGCTGGTTAAAAAATAGGTATTCTTCCCCTCTGGTTTGTACCATTCGTATTCTTGGTTTCCCCTGTCCCCAGCAAGCTTTTGGGCATTTTGGCCAGAGCCACCATGCCATCTGTGTGCATCAGCCATGTGAATCAGCTGGCTGCAAGTGAATGAAATACAGCACCCCTAAAGCAGAAGCAACAAAAATACTGGTTTGGTACTCATGAGGTTGAACAACATGATTGGAATTGATGCTGGCAGTCAGTTACGTTGAGGGATGGATAAGCTCCAAAAGCGAATATGATGTTATACATCTTAGTAAATAAATAGGCCATAAGGGAAGTATATTTTACATTTTCAGTGAAAATCACTGGCAAAATACTAGGTGAGCAGATCACCTCAGAGAGTGTATAGTAAACCAGTAAATATTACGTGTTTCCTGATGCTTAATCAATACAATGTAGAGTAATGTCTCTGCTCATAAAATATTTGTTTGATTAGCATGTGGGAATCTCTTCATTGCTGATGTGAGAAGGTGGCTCCTGTGACTTTGGGGTTACCAAGTTTCCTTGTCTGGTTTCATCAAAATCTTCTTTTATTTTTTTTCCCTGAATTGCTGCACTTTCTCGCTCTGTTTGCTGCATATCCAGTGTCAGTGCTGGAGCCGTGGTGTGGCATCAGTCCGCGTGCCTCGCCCGTTAGCTTGCCCAGCACCAGGCCCCTCTGCACGCTAAGCCATGGGGCTGCACCCTGAACGGCAGCACCTGCAGACAGCGTGGGTGGCTGTCTTATTTGAGTGAAGGTAGATGTGATTGTCATGTGGTCAGGATAAGCAGATCAGCTATCACAGCATCACAGAATCCCAGCATGGTGGGATTGGAAGGGACCTCTGGAGATTATCTGGTCCAACCCCCCTGCTCCAGCAGGTCACCCACAGCAGGGTGCCCAGTATGGCATCCAGGCGGGTTTGGGATCTCTCCAGAGGAGACTCCACAACCTCTCTGAGCAGCCTGCTCCAGGCTCTGCCACCCTCACACCAAAGAATTTTTTCATCCTGCTCAGATGGAACCTCCTGGGCTCCAGTTTGTGCCCGTTGCCCCTTGTTCTGTCGCTGGGCACCACTGACAAGAGTCCGGCCCCAGCCTCTTGCCCCCCAGGGGCCCTTTAGCTCTTGATCAGCATTGAGAAGATCCCATCTGTGCAAGATGTTGATATCAGACCCCAGCAGAAGTCCCAAATTCTTGCTCCCTCCTTCCCCTGTGTACCATTTGAGGCTTGCAGTAGCTGGTCCCTTTTCCACTTGCAAATGGCAAATGGCCTTGCTCCCCTTCGGCTGGGACTCTGGTTTGGAAGCTGCAATATCCTGTCTAAAAAGCACAGAGCATTTGCACTCGTTTCTCACTGTGTAACGACTTGCTGACATGTAATGGCTTTGGGGGAAGGGAGTGCCTTACATCATCTGCTGGTTCTTCAGGGAATGAATTTTTAGTACTTGGCAGCGCTTGAACTTCAGGTTGAATACTTAAGTAAATATTTAAGAGCTTTATCAGACCAGTAAGGTCAGGCGGTGGGATAAAGGAAAACACTGTGCATCAGAATGCAAATTTTGAGTTTTTCTGAAACCAGGCTTCTACAGCTCTGTGCTTCAGACTGGTTCTGTTTTCCACAGCAGAGTGTATCTGCAGTGCAAGCTGTCTTTCTGTAAATGGACCTGCTGTGTCAGCCAGGAGAGGCTTTTGGCCAGCTGTTTACATCTGCATCCTCAGATGTGCAGCTAGAACCGAGGCAAAGATGGTTTGCTGAAAAATCTGCCCTTTGTTGTGACGGTGTCCACAATATGGGCTAAAAAGGGGGCAAGGGGGGAAAACCACGTTTTTTACTTCCTCAGAATGTAATTTCATAGATAATTTAAAAAAATAAATAAATAAAAGAAAGTAGTATATCCAGGGAGCACAGCTTAATAGGACATGCTAGAAGCTGTACAGTTCAGTGTGATTTCTTCCTGGAAATACCAAGTTAAAAGCATAAGACAGTCTGTAGTACTTGAGATGTAGTCAAATAGTCCTTACTCAGCAAAACTTTGGTCACAACCAAGTAAGGTAAGTAATGGGATCTGTTCTGTGAAACAAAAATTATCTCTTTTTTTTTTTTTGTACATTTTACCTTAAGGTTAACAGCTACATAAAGACTGTCTTTCACTATTTATTCAGTATCTTGATAGCGAAGTAGTTCCAATGTATCTTAGGGATTTTCATTCTAATTCTGTGCCTTTAGACTTTGTCCCCTAAATGGTAATATTAATCCAAAGCCTTCAGTTTGGTTTGTTTTTTGTTTGGTTGGTTTTTTTATATAGAACAAGTAATTGGAATAATTAGAGCTTAGGTTTTCTGGACTCTCTCTTCTAGATTATCCCAATGGTATTCGGCTCACATCAGCTGTTCCAGGAGCAGATATAAAAGTACTAATAAATTTCAATGCACCAAATCCTCAGGACAGGAAGAAGTTTACAGATGATTTGAGGGAGTCGATTGCAGAGGTTCAAGAAATGGAAAAGCACAGAATAGAGTGTAAGTACAAAGGTATATATAATAGAGCATTTTCAAGCTAATCAAAATAAGAAAAATCTTGTATAACCCATTAGAAACCTTTAGAAATTCATTTTTCCATGGCTTTGGTTCTAAAAAGAGGAAAAACCCAAGAATGTTGTAAGACCCAGCTGAGTTCATTGACTATTGTTTGCTGTAGTGTAGCTGCAGTGGAAGTTTAGCCTGGATGAACTGGGAAGGTCGATGGACAGAGGAGAGGTGGATTTGTAGTTTGTGGTATAAATTACAGTAAGCATTTTAGGGATAGTTTGCATTGCTCTGAAATTCTCAGTGATGGCCTTTCAAATAAGTTGCACTGAATTTTTCTTCATTTCCATGTTGCTGTTGCTGTATTTCTTCAGTTTTTCCTGCATTCCTTCAATTTCCTGTAGTCCTTCAATTAGGTCGCCATAGTACAAGTTGATCTGTTTTGCTGGAAGTTACATGAGTGTCAAAACATGGAATATTGTATTCTGTTTTTCCAAAAGACTAACAGCCTTTGATTCTTTATGTCCTTGTAATATAACACTGTTAGGACAGGGGTGAAGCTCCTCTCTGGCATTTCACAGGGCCAAAAGGAACTCTTAGCTATTATTTGCAGTAACACACAGTTCCATACAGGAATTGTGATGTCACCCTGTCCTTCATTATGGTCCATAAACACCAATGGCAAAATGACTCTCTTTGTTTCAGCTGAGCTAGAAAAACAGAAGGGCGTGGTGCGTCCGAGCATGTCTCAGTGCTCCAGCCTGAAAAAAGATTCTGGCAACGGGACTCTGAGCAGAGCCTGCCTGGACGACAGCTACGCCGGCGGGGAGGGGCTGAAGCGGAGCGCGCTGAGCAGCTCGCTCAGGGACCTGTCGGAGGCAGGTAAGCGCTGCCCGGGCTCCCGGCTCCCGCCAGAGGTGTGAAAAGCCCAGCTCCCAGTGGGCTCCCAGGAAAAGAGCTTCAAACCTCTTAAATAGCTCCTCATTCATAGGTCACGTTTAATTTTTGGTTTTCTTTTCACCCTTGTTGTATTAAGCAACCACTGTTTGAAAACATTTAAACCGTTGTAGGTTGCTAGATATACTTTTAAAGGAGAGTGAAGACAGAGGAAAAATTGTAAGTGTTGTATTAAAAAAATGGCTGACTTAGTCTAGGAGTAACCCACTTAGTTTTCCTTTCTTTTTTTCTTCCCTTTTGCCTCTTCCCCTTCATAAAATAGGCTTAGGAAAAAAAAGACAAGAAACTGGTCTCTGTGTACTGACCGCTTTCTGCGTATTTTGTGCTCAAGTGTCCCTGTGTTCCCACACTGATGAATGAAATGGAGTGAACCCCTTCTAAATTCTGCCTAGAGCTATGTAATCCAGACCCAGTGTGTCCCCGATGCTCTTTTATTGTCTCATAACTCCAGATATAGTTCCCAGTTCTCGCCAAAGAGGTGGTTGTGAAATACTATTGCCAATACAATAAAGGGCGTCCTAGTGGACAAGAGTACTGATATCCCACAAAACCACTGGTGTGCCTTAGGCTGTATTAACTGCTTAACATAGCTAAAGACTGGAAAGGAACTGGAGTGTGATTTTTCAGCCAAAGAAAAGCCAGAGGAAGCTTGGTATGGTTTTATTTTGTGATTTGCCTCCGGAATACCCAGCCAGCATCCCCATGTAGTACAGCCTCTCATGGGCGGTCACCTTCTCGTTCAGTATTTCATGTGATTCCTGGCATTTACAAGAAGTCATATCTGAACATGGTGCCCACTGCTTAGGAAGTATTTCTAGGGATAGCAGCAACTATAGTTACCTATTTTTTAATTATTTTCTTAGTTCACAGACTGCGTTACACAGTCTGATTTGTTCTTGTAGTTGCAGTGATGATTTACAGTATATGAATAATTTGAATACTATGTGTATCTTTGGTAGTAGAAATTACTTATCTTTTTTCTTTTTTAATTAAAGAAGAGATTTTAGTTATGCCTCAATAAAGCAAACTGCTGTGAACTGAAATTACAGCCTGTGTTTTGTGGGTATATATATGTGCATACAACTACGTAGAGAGTGAGCGCTTTCAATTGTTTTATTCTCTGTTTAGGCTTTCATACTCATATGTCCGTATGCTTCATGACAAAGACTCAAGATCTTGATCCAAAATTGGGCTGAAGTTGAAAATTGGTGCTTGATTTGCTTCAGTGGATTTTAGATCAAGCCACTAGTCTTCACGACAATTCTATCTCAGATTTGAGGATACTTCCATCATCCTCTTTGTTGTTCTGTTCGTATTTCATCAGAACAAGAACTACCATATTGTTGAATATGTGAGTTCAGGGGGTATCTGTACCCATAAATGTGATTTCTGATTAATTTTTTTCATCCCATGGGTATTTTTCATCTCAGTCTTTCAAACATTGCCATGTATTTAAATTCACATTACAGGTTTTATGCAATAAACAAGTATTTGTAATCATCAGAATGTTCCACATTCCAACAGGGCATGCCTTCAACTGGCATGCTCATTACCAAAAATACTTTTTTCCATAATAAAAAGTAGAAATCATTCACAGACTGCCGGGTTTATCAGTGAGTTTGTTAAACCCAACTAAACTTAATTTTAACTTCAACAAGTTGAGAATTATGGACAGTTTCTGTTTGGTCTTGTGCAGTGCAACTGAGTTGAGAAATTTCATACCTGTTACTTGCTTTGTTATTTGGTGTCAGTTTAATGAGATCACATGTCTTCGCTGCCTTTTCTCAGTGAACACCTTGCATGAGAGGCTGATTTGTGGGGTTTTTTTTAATTTATTTTCATATGGGACAGATGATCCATAGAAAAACAAAGAAATCTTCAGTTAGCAAGATGCTGCATCCCAGGGCTCATACCATACTAAATTGCTTCTCTAAAAGCTCAGTTGTTGCCTCAGTTCTTCTTGTTGTGGATGAAACACAGGATCAAAAAGGAGGAGGAAGAAAAGTAGTGGGACTGTGTATGGTTCTGTATCTTTTTATAAGAAAAGGCATGATGAAAGTAGAATTTTAGAGAGTTCCTTTCTACATTTAAACAGACGTAAATCTAATAAGCATGAAAAAATTACCTGGCTGCTTATTTGTGCAATAAGGCAGATAATTGCCCAACAAACACTGCAAAACTGAAATGAAAGTTTTCAAATATTTATTCAATGAAGGGGAAATCTGAACAAACAGCATTTTAGTTGCACAGGTATATGACAAAGCTAGTTAAGCAAGCAGTCCCTTACTCTCTACCAGATAACACTGTAGTAAACAGTGGCTGTGGAAAATTACTTTAAATTTCTCTCTTGGAAAAGAGGGATAGTTCATGAGCTTCTTAGATCTAATGAACATTGATCCTCTGAGAGAGTCTGACTCCTAAGGTGTAACCAGTAAGGGAAGGGGACAATCCTCTGTCAGGAGACAGTGTCAGGGATAGTTTTCTGCCGGTGGTTCTTCCATGCATTTGCCACAATAGCTTAAATCATAACTGCAAAAAGGATGTGAGCGAGGGTCTCTTTGATTTTAAAGGTGATATTGTTCATTGTGGATTGACAGCTCTTTCCATGGACCACAAAGCAGAATGTGGCAACCATTCCATTCCTAGAGGGGAATATGTGAAAAGTATTCAGTGCTTTATTTTTCTCAAAAGAAAAAGATATCATTTTTATTACACAGTCTCGAACTAGAGTCAAGAAGAAATGAATTTATTTGTCCCAGAATTGGAAATTCTTAATTTACACGAAACTATTAGAAGACAGACAAATTTTAATGTGGTTAAAGCTGAGTTTTACAAGCTCCAATAGAGTTTTGGACATTTCTCCACTCACTCCGTGTGGAATTACAGGATAAGTAGGCTTACAAAAAGACGTTGAAGGAGTAAGTCCCATCGTGGCCATTAGAACATGGGACGGACGATTTGGTCACTAAAGCAGAGCACAGAGGATCAGATTGGTTGCGGTTCTGATTCTGTATCTCCCACAGATTCCTTGACTGATTTTGGGCTAGTCAGTCTGAATTCCAGTGACACTGAGTTGCTGGGGGACCCAGAGCTTTGGCATTGAGTTGACCATGGCGAGCACCTGTGGAAATCAAGCTTTATTCCCTCCATCTCTGATCTCTAAGGGGACAATAGTATTTACACACTGCAATGGTTTAAACATGGTAATTCTGGTTTGCCTTGGCAATCCCCAGCCGGCATTGCCTGTGTAGCACTGGGAGCTGCCCATGAGCACAGGCCGGTGTAACAGCTATTACTAATACACATTGTGCTCGTCTCCTGAGCTCCCGAGCTGTCTCAGAACAGTCACAGACCAGTAGAGACTGTTCAGAGAAGTAAAAACTAAACCAAGCATAATGTAGTAAAATAATTCTATTTGTATATTGCATATAAGCTCATTCATCAATCTTTTAACTTTTTCAGTGTTCCTTTTTATTTTTTTAAACAATTTCCTCATGTATTTTAAATAAATTTCCTATATCCCAAACCATAATGGAAAAGATTGTGAAACTTCTCAGCATTGTAATCCCCTTAAAAAGACTCCCAAGTTCATGCAATTGCAGAATCCCTTCGCCTGTGGAATCCCTCTGTGCTGGGAGGGTGCAGTCCCTCAGCTCCTCCCTCACCTGACACAGGCAGGGCCACAAGGTTATTTTCCCCCTCCCCTTCCCAGGATTTTGCTGCACTCCCCAGGACAGTTACTAGCAGTCTTTTGTCCTTCTGACTGGTTGAGCTTTCCAAGGAAGGTGAGATTTTTTTCTGTCTCTTCCCCTGTCACTGTTGTTATATTTCCTATTCTTCAATGGAATAACAACAGTAATGAGTATGATAGAACTTAATAAAAAATAAAAATAAAACAGATGTGTTCAAATCAAGTCTTTTGTGATATACAGACATTAACACCAAAAACCATTTGACAAGTATGTTGTAAAAAGATGTCCCACGCTGTATATAAACACCTTTGTGCCAACACCTTCTCTGTCTCATGGAGGAAGAGATGCTGTTTGTTTTTTCAGTGCAGGAGGAGGTCGGCAGGGCCAGCCGGGCTGGTGCTCTTTTCTCCTGGGGCTTCACCAGCATTCAGAGACTCATCTGTTAGACCAGGACACAGTTTTCACAGTCAGGGTGTGGCCTAAAGACTCACCCAGAAAACAGGATGAACATATGAAGGTTAGAGCATCTTTTCACCTGGAAAGTCATCTCTCTAATGATTAGAGCATGATTTTTAGATAATTTTGAGCAAGTCATGTTGAGTAATACCTGTAAGCTCAGTAGCTAGATGGTTACAGACTCTGCTGCTGGGAGTATCAATTTCACTGCCTTTGGAGGCTACTGTAACTCCTGCCTTAGTTTGCTTTACCAAAACCTACATTTAGAAGTTTAGTCCAATCATTTTTCCCCAAGACATACAAAGCCAGATCATATTACATGGTTTAGATGTCAGTATATCCCACTGGCAAACAGACAGAGGTTTCGGTAGCACTGAGAAATAGTTACATTTACTGCAATGATCTGCATGTTTGAGAGAGCATTTTCAGCAAGGTAGAATGGATTTTTAGGAATGAAACTTGATCTTTCCTTTTGGAATGTTTACATTTGATCGCTTCATATTTCCACTATAAATTTGAAATACTTTTAGTCCCATATAATGCATGTTCATATGTGGGAGATACTCTACATATGTAGGTTAAAGAAATTTCTTACAAAGATTATTCATATCTAATGTCAATGTATTGTTGGAATGAATCAGAAAAGATTAAATGAACTGAAATTTAATTTTATAAAAATTTAAAAATACTCTAACATCCTTATAAAATTTAAGTAGATCAGAATACATTAAGGAAAGCTGGTCTTCAGATTTGGTAATCACCACCTTCCTTTGTATCACAGCTGTGAATTATTGTGCCAGTAGAGTTACGCTTATGTACAAGTCCAGTTTCAGTCCCTGAAATGCATTTGAGCACTACAGTGCTAGGGAGATGTTTTTGGGATGAGACGCCAGCTCCGAGACTAGGGAACAGACTTGTATAAATGCATGTTGGCAGAGGGAAGTCTCCAGGGGCTTTACTTCACAGCTTTCATATCCCATACAGAATTGGGTTCAATTTGCTCATTAAGAAAATAAAGAGCTCTTTGTTGTGATAGTGCCTATCTGAGAGAAATGACAGGCTTTTTAAGTAGGGTTTTCTGTTTGTTCTTGGCTTTGCTAGTACTACTGTGCCCTGAAGTTCTTCTAAGCAAAAGTCCATCTGTCTCTTTCTGTCCATTTATACTGTGTATTTGCTGTGCTCATGGTTATTAGCGACTTTGCCATATGCAAAAACCGTTAGATTTTCCTGTTTCACATCATTTTTGGCCACATGTAATGACTCGTGGCCACTGTCATTCTTGTTAGCAATACTGACTGCTAAGTTAAGAGGTGGCTCTCTTCCTCTCTGGCTTTGTGTCAGCAAGTGAGAGTGATTTGAGTGTTATTTGGCACTAATCCCATTAGCAGAGCAGAAAACTATCAACACCTGACTGGAAGTAAAAATAGGGGATTATCCACACCATTTTTTCTTGGAGGCTTCATAAGATAGCACAGTTATGGTTTTGTTGAGGCTAAAACTGCAGCAATAAGAGATGAAGCACTAAGCTTTTGACCAAGAGCCTGTCTAGAGGAACTGTTCAAAATTCCAACAAATTTACCAAGTTGAACAAAAAAAAAATCTTGACCGCCAATGCCTTCCCCTCAATTTAATGTCAGGGTAGAGGGGTTTGGACTGGGGAGTCGCTCTCCGCGACAGTGAGAGACGGGGGAATGTTGCAGTAGTCTAAAGGGAACTGCAGGTCTTCAGAGAAACTTGGGTTGCAGGGCAACATCCCATGGCCAGCCAGGTCAAAGTGATGGATGTGGATCCAACAGGTAGCATTTGTAGATCATACTGATCTTGCAGGACTTCTGGGTAGTCCAAGTTGGTCTATAAGGGAGGATGCTAAGAAGTAACCTCTCAGGAATCACCATTGTGTCCCACTTACAAACCAGTCCCAAAGTTCTTCTTTTTACCTCTGGCACCTTTTGTGACTTTTGGGCTTCTAAAGATGAGAGTATGTGTGTCATAGGTTCAGTGAAGCTGAAACCTTCACATTCCTCTCCAAACCCACCTGTCAGAGTAGAAGATTCTGAAGGCAGCAACGTACCAATGCAGGGTGGAGATGCTCTTTGATCATCTTTGATCAAATATCTTTGATATTTGGCCTTGCAGGAAAGCAAGAAGAAAGCATTGTGAAAACTCAGGTTTCTAAAAACATGCAGATTTTAGAGAAGCTTTGAGAACCTGACTGCTCTTCAAAGGTTAGCTTTGTTTACACACCCTGCCATTAAAGTATCTTGAAATGTTGCAGAGGGGTGCTCAAAAGCTATTGTTGCAAATGTATCTGTTTCCACTGCAGCCACATGCTACGTTCTCTCCTGTGAAACAAGAGAGAAAATCTGGGATCCTGTGTCCTGTTTATAGCCACTGAAGTATTCGGGCTCTTTAGGCAAAACGTCAGGTGTTGTTTCATGTGTAGTTTTAGGAAAATGTCTTTGGCAATTTGAGAATACTGGAGAACAAATCTTATCCTAGTTAAAGCACTGCACGGCTAAACAAACAAAATCTAGCCATAATGTCAAGACAGATTCCAGATTTGTCGATCAAAATTAAGTTTAGTTTCTTTTAAACCTCATGAAAGAAGATTATATGAAATCCACTGAGGTTCAAAACTGCAAATGAGAAGAGGAAACTGATGCCCCTCACCAGTCCCCCTCCCTGAAGTTTTAGAATATGCCAATATTAAATTTTATATTTAAGTTATTCCCACCCCACAAGTATATATCAGTGCTAGCAGTCTCTAAAGAAGGAAACTCCATAGGCAATTCCAGGAGATGGAACAATATGAAACTGTTGCTGGTCAACATCATAACCGCACTACTAAATATAGAGATGCTCAAATACGTGTCTTTTAAGAGTTGTACCAATTAAACCAACAACAAAAAAATCACACTCTGCTAACGACAGTTGATTCACAAAAACAACACGTCTTCAAAGTCCGTCAGGTCCAGAAACTGGATGTAAATAACAGCCTTAAAGCTCGAAGTTTCTGCCTCGGTAGCTGCTGTACAGTCCAGCGCAGTGTCCCCCCTAGCTGGGTCTAGCGCCTCCTCTAGCGAGTCAGGGGGAGCGGCTGTTCGGCACCCGGCTCTTGTCTCAGTCTCTAATCTCTGGTGTTGCATGTCCCGGGCAGGCAAGCGTGGGCGACGCAGCAGTGCAGGATCGCTAGACAGCAATATGGAAGTAAGTAGGAAGCTCCTGACGTCTAGCTGGATGTGATGATGTGCATTTCGAACTTTTCTTTTCTATACATATTTTTTTTTTCTCTTTTTTCTTCTAACATATAACCTGCCTGCCTCAAATAAAATGCATGCCTAGGCTACTCACTCCGTATTCTTCCAGCTTAAAAAGCACTGATGGCTTGTTTTAGACCAATGCCATTTTTGGTTTGAGCTAACCTTGTTCCCTTTGTTCCTGCAAGCATGGTTAAATGAATATGACGTGTCCTTCTGCCACCATTTCAGTCTGGTCCCAGCTTAAAAGCCCACTCGCTCTTTGTTACCAAGTACACTGTTCTTGCTGTTTGATATTTAGCTACAACTATCGACTTCCATGCTTAACCATTCCCATCGCTTATTCTCGAGTTCAATTGCTCAATGTATGCAGTCATGACACCATGGAATTGCACAGATAGGGCATGGGAGGAAAAAATTGTTAAGACAGGTGAATTCAATGTGGATTTCATGAGATTTCATTCATCTTCAAACCATTTATATATACTGTTCATGTCTCTGAATTCAGCTTGCAGAGTTTTTCTTTTTTTTTTTCTTTCTTTTTTTTTTTGTGTTTGCTTTCAGTAGATTGCAGTTTAAATCTAGCACACTGCCCAAGCACTGTTGTGTCCCATAAATCTTTTTTAAAAAATACAACCCCCAAAACTTCCAGAAATTAAATACACCATCCCAGGCTAAATAATAGAGAATATTGGACCACAGGTCAGAAGAACACAGTCACATAGAAGTGCCAGTGACAAAAATGGTGTGGTTCCATTTAAGACCTAGTTCAGAGGTAGGCTCGAGAAGCAGCACTGTGGCATGTAGTAGTAGAAAACTACTATTTTTAAAGAAAAAAAAAAAGTTTAGTGTTTTGAATTCTGAATTGTAACTGTAATATTTGCTGCTGTGTGTTTAATTATTTAGGCTGAATTTAATGTAGATTTTTGTTGTTAAAAAAACAAGCCTTGTAATTTTTACAGCATTTAAAAATGTATTTTTCCTTTAAAAACACACTCCTAGGTCTTATGTCATGCTCCTCCTCCATGACATTTTTTGTATTTAAAGTCATAGCTTTTGATGCTAAAGTGCTGAGAGGAAAACATTTAATGCTTACAAGACCCCAAGAAGGGCACGGATGCCTCATTGGCAGCTTAGAGAAGGTGGAAATCAATTTTTTCCTAGAACTCTTAACGTAGTCCACCCATGTGAACACTGAAGGAGGAATGTGTGGGGTCAGGGTGAACTTTTTCTTTTAAACATTTTAAGATTTTTTTTTAATTTTTATTTCTATTAATTTCTTTTTAGGGGTCCATCATTAGCAGTCCTCACATGCGCCGAAGAGCTACATCAACCCGAGAGTGTCCATCTCGCCCTCACCAGACTATGCCTAACTCCTCCTCACTCCTAGGTTCCTTGTTTGGTAGTAAAAGGGGAAAGCCACCTTCCCAAGGCCATCCACCATCCG